TCGCTACGGTCGTCAGTCGATGCGCCGAATGGCGCCGAGAATGATACACATGATACAGCATATCGAGGCACAGCCCAATACGTAGAATGGACGGGAGCGCGCACGGCAACATCGACAAGGTGAGGCGGGCAAGAGGGGAGGCATAACAAAAAGAAGCAGGAAGATGGGGCAGGTATGTGAACAAACATCCGCAACAACTGCAGCCAATCATGTTTCGGAGTGAGTCGCCGTCATCAGCGCAACATGCGATACACGAGCGAGCCAGACTACGGAATCTATTCGAGGTGCACCAACAGTTACACATGGTTTTGAGAACACTGAATAACACCGAACACGGGACGGTAGGGGCAAGCCTGTACAGGCCGAAAATGACAAAGTCTATATCACTAGGAATCACGGGTCGAACATGCAGAAGTCGACGTCCGATCATACTTCTTACACACAGTTTCTCATGGTCCATGGACAAGCTTCTCCGTGGCGCGCTGGATATGTTCTGTGCCTGAAAGTCGGGGCCTCAGATATGTTCGATACAATGCGATCGTTACGCCATGCCTGCTGCAGAGAGGTAGACAGCCAAATCATATTATACTTTCAACATGCAGTGCACTCGTCATCTTCGCCGAAACGGAACAGTTCTTCCACCAGCGGGTAGAGAGTGCTCGAGAAGATGACAGTCCTGTGCATCGCAGCTCTGGCGACAATGAAAAGGTCGCGGCACTGGACGGGCATGAATATGTCTTTCACATTGTTCATCGCACTCGTCGCGATGGCGTTTCTAGGCCCAGCAACCAGAGCCTGCACCATATTGTGCTCAGCACTGAGCATGGAGGAGGAAGGGGCGTGGAACTGTGAGATGTGGCTGAACACGCTGGAACACAACATGTTGTAGTGAGAAACAGGTTTGATCATGCCCAGTCCCAGCTCGCGCACCATCCGAACCCTGCAAAGATTCTTGGCCATGGGGGCTGCCCAGCTTGCTACGTTACCTTCGCGACGGATGCTCAGCCCCAGGTAGCGCCCCGATCTGGCCCACGCCCAGGCCCTGGAGTCAAGACCAACGCCCTGAAACACAAGGAGGACGTCGGCATCGGAGATCGAACCAGGGAAAATCAGAAGCGTTTTTCTCTGTGGGTGAATAGCCAGCAAGCTTTGGCAACCGTTTCCCACACTTCGATAAGGCTGCGCAGCGTGCTGAAGACGTCGTTCGCGGCAATGCCAACGTCGTCCGCGAAAGCAGCGCGGGTGGCAACAGGATGGGGGATACGCGCGCAGAGGAAGCGCAGCACGGGGTCAAACACCATGGCCCACAGGGAACCAGAAATCGGACAGCCTTGTTTGATGTCCCTCATACACAAGAAGCCGGCGCCCTGGGGCCCACGGACAAAGATCTGGCACCATAGCCGCTGGAAGAAACATCTTGCCCCATTAACCATGTGTTCAGGGACGCCCATCACGCTAAGAGTCCCAAATATCATGCCGTGAAGAAGGGAGGGGAAATCAACGCGGATGTCGAAGCAAATGTCGCCACTTCGAAGCTCGTCGCGTTGCGCCAGGAAATGAATAAGACGAGCCTCCAGCTAAAAGATGTTGTTGGTCATGTTTCTGTGTTTCACAAGCCCACGCTGGTTGCGGATGCAAATGACCTGGCCCGTGTATGCTAACGGCTTGTTGGTGGCAGCGGCGAGCAGCTTGCTACTATTGTTGCTTAAAGTGAGGGGCCTCGTGCATTCAGGACTCTTTATAACTTCGTTATGGTCGTGGTCCGTGGATCCCTCGGGGATGAAAATCATCTGAGCCCAGTCAAACCTTTCACCAACCGTGCCCGTGTCGAGGATGTGCCAATACAGACGATATAAGCAAACATAGTCCAAGCGGAATACGGGGGCCCGTCGGGCCCAGGAGCCGAGTCACGTTTGCGACGAATGTGCTGACAGAAGTCCCCATACTCGAGGCGGCACTCCGCATGGCAAGGAACATAATGCACAGAAGGCTGGAGCTCCGCTCGCGCGCCCACGCAGCGCTGCTTGTAGGCGTGAACCTTGGACCAGTATTTGGCCAGTTCGGTGGCTGCCGCACCAGGGTCGCATCACTGCTGGCAATTGGGGGTCGAGGATGGAGGTGATCAAAATCCGTGGTTTTTTGGTCCCAGGCAGACTTGCACGCGTAGAGCTTGTCAGTTTTCTGCTTCTTGACCTGCGGCGAAATCGGCAGGCTTTCGACGCGGGCGATTTCGGCCTGGATGCATTCGATCTTGAGGCCCCCGAGGTTCCCGCGGAATTTCGAAGGGCCCCGAAATCGAGCGAGCCCGGGGTCGATCACCTCCAGGAGCCAAGGATAAGCTCGACATGCTCGCCGAACTCGTGGGGAGTCATTCTGGCGAATACCCCTCACCGCGGCCATGCTCCACCCAACTTTCCCATGGAACGTGCTGGTGTTAGCTTGCTCAAGCTCTGTCATCCCTTGTTTGGCAGCTTCAATGAGGATATCACCCATCTCAGTAACAGCTTGCGAGGGGTCTTCGCTGCGATTGTCAGCTCCGTTGGCAACATGGGCAACAACATCAACATCACGCTCATGCCGGGGAATCCACGTCGGCATGCGAGAGCCAGGTTGGCGGGCACGGGGAGCGAGAGACAGAACAACAGGAACTTCATCAGAAAGCTCGCGCAGAGAGGAGGCCTCGCCTAACGTCGTGCTGCTAGGGTAGAAATCGAATAGCTCTGCATATGCCATATTCATGTAGATGCGATCGGTACGTGCGAGCGAGACGATGTGCGGAACTCCGTTATCAGAATGTCGAGTCACGCGGTGCGTGAATGTGTCCTGGTCTACTTCGACAAGCTCGGGAACATGGAAGTCGAAAAAATTGGCCACCCTGTGCGATGGGAATACTACTCGTCCGTCAGCTTGATAGGACCCCTCCCCGCTGGCAGAAAAATTGGAATCCCCAGCTATCAAAACCGTGGCCCGATCAGCATCCATCTTCTTAGCCTTGCTTTGGAGGAGCCCCTGCATGCGTTGCTTGATCGGGAGAGACGGGTCGCTGTGTAGGTTGAAAGCCTGGAGGCATGCATTATCATTCTCCAGAACAAGGCAGAGGCTGCGACCCTTCTTTACCTGAGTAGAATGTGAGACAACCGCCCTGGGTGTGGACGTCGCAGAATGTGCCGACGACTTAGCAGTCTTGAGCTCTGCGCGCGAACTGCTCAAGGTCCCCTGGGGTTCCTCGGGATTCCTGAATACAAACGATTTCATGACGGCCCAAGAGATCCTCAAGCCTGGAACATGTCTTAGCATTGTATTGGAGAGAAGACCCAAGAGAACCAGGCCCAGAGCAGCAATTCCAAGAGTAACTTGCTGGTCGGCAAGAAGGGACTCAGACATGATCCCGGGCATTTCATCTCTGTCTCAGAAGACGAAGAGGAGGACGAAGTCGCTGATGCCGTCGAACTCGTTGAGGAAGCAGAACTGCGAACTGAATCTCTGAGTCGATGCGCGCCATCGTCGACACTGCTGAGGATGCTTTGCGTACTCATAGTTGTGAAGGCGCTCCTCCTCCTCCTCCTCCTCCTCCTCCTCCTCCTCCTCCTCCTCCTCCTCCTCCTCCTCCTCCTCCTCTCGCTCGCAGCGCCAACCGTCAGCCTGGTGCGCCGGGTCCGTCGCCAGCTCGCGGGCAGCAGGACTGCGCGGCCATCCTGTGGCGGTCGTCGGCGGCAGCGAGGGCGGCGAAGGCGGAGGGGCGGAGAAGGAGGAGTGAGCACCGTTTAACCGATCCATATTCCCACCCACTGGCCGATCTACGCCCCTGAATGGGGATGTGGGCTCTCCCCTTTGGGTTTAGAGGGGCATGTTCCCAAGTGTAGTGTCGGGATGGTGGGGAGCGGGATGGGGATGGGGATGACGATAGGGACCGGCTACACGATACTGAGGGAGGGGAAGATTTCGCTGGTTCTTGAGTGGCTTCTCGCATCGGAATGCCTTCCATGCTCCTCGTCGAGAGCTCTCTAGGGGTGCCCGAATCGTGCCGGGCGGCCGACTGAGGCCCGAGAGATGGCCCGAAAACCACCAGGCGTCAAAGGGTCGGGGGGCTGGAAAGGGGGAGGCGTCCTTCTCCACTCCTCCTCCCTCTTCCCCAGGCCCCTTCGGGCGTCTTTTCTCTACTTTCGGCCTCCGGGGGTCCTCGCCGGGCCTCGGGACTATCGAAAACACGACTCAGGATGAAAAACCGGTCCCGGGGAATGGCTTGAGACCTCCGGGGGTCGACGTTCATACCAAATCATGACGTCGGGGGTCTGGGTCCGCTCCACTTCCTTCCCTGCGGTGTCCTACTGAAAGCGTGCTCGTCTGGGGTGGAGATAGATCGGCGGAGGCCTGAAAAGAGGGAGAATCGTAAAGAGGAGGGAGGAGGATGGAGGAGAGGTAGGATGAGGGAAGGGGGAGGAGGAGCGCAAAGGGAGGGATGGGAAGGAGGCAGGAGGAGAAGAAAGGAATGAGGAAGAACGAAGAGGGGGGTGATCAAAAACGGAGAGGGGGGTGAGAAAGAACGAAGAGGGGGATGAAGAGGAAGCAAAGGGAGAGATGAGGAGTAGTAGGGATGACATGGAGGTAACGAAGAGATAGCAACGAAACAGGAAGGGGGGAGGGATGAGGCAGTGCAGGCTGCCAGTTCAAGCTGCAGCACTCTGGTGGCTGAGATGGCAGAACAGCTCTGGGGATAGCCGTCGCTCTGAGGTTAACAGGGTAGGCGCAAGGGGGAGAGATATCACGTAACTTCGTCTCTATCAGGGAGGCGTCGTGGCCGAAACTGTGCCCGAAGATCAACCCGAGTGTGACCGAAACTGGGCGCCCGAAGTTTTCCAGCCGCGCCCGAGTGTGACCGACCTGTCTGGTTCGAAACCTAGGCGATCTCCAATTTCGGCCACAACTCCGGTCACACTACGTTTTCGGTCACAACTCCGGACACGTTTTCGGTCACCGACTTTTTTCGGTCACTTACCTTTTCGGATGATCCGGGCGGGGTGCCTTGAGAGATAGCAGAGAGCAAGTTAGCGAGTCAGCCCCGCGTGAATAGCTGGTCTCCCTGGCTCCTCCGAGCGCCTCGCGTGGCCACTGAACGAGGAGTGATCGAGGAATGATGAACGACCCTCTGACTGATGAGCGCCATCGAGGAACGATCTGAAGACTGATGAGTGCTGTGCGCCATCACAGATTGCTAGAATGAATGCCCCCCCGTGCGTTTCTGAAGCGCCCCACGCGTCTCCGCACCTGCGGCCGCCAAACCCGGAAGCGCGGGGCCCCGCCGCACGCGGGCTCCGCCGAGCGGAGGGGACCACGAAAGCGCCGCGGCCTCGGAGAGCTGGCGCTGCTGGGCTTGTTTTCCACCACCATCACCAGAAGTAGGAGGGGGAGGGGGTCCTCCTCCTCCTCCTCCTCCTCCTCCTCCTCCTCCTCCGTAGCCATTTTGGCTCAAGCTTGGTTCAAAGTTTTCAGCCCGGGCACCCCGGAGCCTTTGTTTTCTATTACTTCGTGAATATTCAGGTAGTTAAGCTTCGATGGATCCTGCCAATGCCGACGGGGTGTTATCCACCGCTGTCGTGGAGGAGCTGGCGACTAGGCTGGGGCGAGCCCGTGCTGGCCAGCTTTCAATATACGGCCTTTTTTGTTTGATTGAGGATCTTGAGCCCGTGCCACAGATACTCGCTAAAGCGCAGCAGAGGCGCGACGAGGGCCTTCAGCACCACCTGAGTGCGGGCTCACAGGCACTGCTGGCAACAGAGCAGGTCTTCCAGAATGCCGAGAAAGAGCTTCGCAGGATTCTGAAGGATGACCTGGACCGTGCCCTGCAGCTTGAAGGAATCACCATCCGTGAGCAGCAGAGGGCGCTGTCGTTCATCGAGGTTCAATTACAGGATGCTGCCCAGGATATTTCTGCCACCGGCGAGAAGCATCGCCAGGCCTTAAAGGACAAGCGCTGCCAGCTCGAGCACTGCGCCGTGGTGCAGGAGTCCAAGGCAGCACTCGTCGTGGAGCAGAAGGTGGCGACGCTCGCGAAAAAGTACGAGCCAGTCCAGAAGGAGTACGAGGCGTGGCAGGCTGGCAAGCACAAGTTCAAGACGAACGACGTGCTCCAGGCCACCCGTCGGACGTACGAGGACCTCAGGAAACAGATGGCGGCGACCCGCGCGGAGCTCGAGGACGTGCTGCGGCAGCGCCGGCCCAGCGGGGGCCCGCCGCCAGGCGCGGCGGCGCAGGCAGGCAGCGGCCCGGCAGGCCGCGCCGCGGCGGAGCTGCAGGGCGCGGGGGCGGGCGGCGGCTGGCGGGCCGCAGGGCGCGCGGGCGGGGGCGCCAGCGCGGCGCAGAGCGCGACGGTACCAGAGCGCAAGGATGTTCAGGCCGAGTCCCAGGGCGGCGCCGAGGAGCAGCCCCGGCAAGGGGGCCCCCGGGGCGGGCAGCAGGGCCGCGCCAGGCGCGCGCGCTTCGAGGAGGGCGCGCCGGAGGTGGCCGTCTGCGCTGCCGCGCCCGAGCCCTGGCAGGGGGCGGAGGATGACGACATCGAAGACGCGTTCCGGCAGCGCATGCCCGCAAGACAACCGAAGCAGAAGTCCAAGGGGCATGCCTTCCGCGACGGAGACGCGAGGTTTCGTGGGATGCAGGTGCTCGCGCAGCTGGGTGCGGAGATGAGCCACGCGAGCCACGCGAGCAACGGCGAGTACCAGGGCGCGGAGCCCCAGCGGAGCGTCTCGGCGGCGCAGGCCGCCCAGGCCTCCCGGCGAGAGGCGTGGCCGAGCCAGCCCGCGGAGGAGGGCGATCAGGACGAGTCGGAGGCCGACTCGCCCGACGTCCCGGCGGGGGAGCCCGTGCTGCCCGAGGGCTGGGAGGCCGTGTGGTCAGAGCCACACGAGGCTTTTTATTACTGGGACACGGCGACGGATGAGGTCCACTGGGAGCCGCCAGCGCCGCCCCCGCCGCCGCTGCGCCCCAGGCGTAGCGGGCCTCTGGCCAGCGGCGGCGGCGTCGCCGCCGCAGTGGCCAGGGGCGCGGCGGCCGCGGGAGGTGCCGCCGCGGCGGCGCCCGCGGCGGCGCGGAGGGGAGCCGCAGATAGCAACCCAGTGGTTGACGAGCGTGCTGACCGGCGAGAAGGTGGCGGGGGCACGCTCGGCAGCAGAGCCCGCGGCGAGCCCGAGACCGTGGAGGTGGACCACGGCGCTGGCGCCGACGGGGGCCAGAAGCTCAGCTACGGCTGCGTCGTCGTGGCGGTAGCACGAGAGCTCGGACTGCCAGAGGCAGAAGTGCGAGATCTCGGCATCAGCACCGTGGACGAGTGGCGCGCGAACTTCGGGCCCAAGGAGTGGGCGCGGGTGAGCTCGCGAGCCCTGGCCCTGGAGGGCGCCAAGAGGGAGGCGGCACATAAGGCCGAAAAGGCGCGCGAGTCGCGGAGCCTTTCCCAGATCACCTACGAGAACGAGACCAAGGATCTGGAGAAGGCCAGACGAGCAGCCAATCATGTGGACATGCTCATGCCGCTCAGGCACCGCCAGGCCGCAGCCGCCCCGGCACGCCCGGCCGCCAGGCAGCAGCCCACCGCCGCTGCGCCGGGTGGCCGCGGGCGTGCAGCTCCGGGCGGCCGTGGCGCGCCGCCTAAGGGCCGAGGAGGCCAGGCGCGGGGCAAGGTCCCAGGGCAGGGGCTCGCCGACCTCGCCCACAGGAACCGCTTCGCGGGGATGGGGGACAGCGACAGCGACTAGCCGCGCGGTGCCCGGCTGCGGCAGCGGGCCCTGCCCAGCGGCGGCAGCGGGCCCGCCGCTGTGCTTCGGAGCGGCGGGTTCGCCGGTGCCTGCGTGCTGCGGCACTTGAGGCGGCCGCACGGCGGGCGACGGCCGGGCGGCGTTCCCGCCGCGGGCGCCGAGCGGCGCAGCGGGCGACCCGCGGGAGCCGAGACCCTCCAGGGGCGCAGCACGACGCCGACCAGATCGGCGGCTGGCCATGCTCTCTCTGACGCTCGTGCAGCAGAGCTCAGGGGGGGGTCCTCCTCCTCCTCCTCCTCCTCCTCCTCCTCCTCCTCCTCCTCCTCCTCCTCCTCCTCCTCTTCATCCTCCACCTCCTTCCCCCCTCCAACTCATGGTGGTGGTGGTGGACAAACAGGCACATCAGGCGCGTGCACTGAGGGCAGGACGACCAGCAGTCGGGCGGCTGCACCTGCCGGCCGATCCTGCTACAGGTGTGGTGCGCGCCTCAGGGACAGGTCCTGTTACTCCTCGCGGGGGGCGACGGGGCGTCGCCCCCGCGAGGGACGCGACCAAAATCGACGTCGCGAAGGCATTGAGACGGGCCGAACACCAAGCGATGCGCGAAGGCATTGAGACGGGCCGAACACCAAGCGATGCTCTGCTCCAAAATCTGCGCCACGGACGGCAGGAGGCGGGCCTGACATGCACGCTGCCTGTGCCGCTTGGAGCTGTCGCACTTTCGAGCTCCACGCCTCGCCGTGCAGGGCAGGAAAAATCGACTCATAGGCGCCGCGCGGCCTCCACCGCTGCACCTCCTCCAAGCCGCGCCACTGTCCCCCCCCCTCTCGGAGGAAGCAGGCGAGAGGAGGACCGCAGTGACGGGTGGGAGCGCGCACTTGCCTCAGAAAGTGCATGCGTGAGCACCGTTTGACCGATCCTTCTCGCCACTGGCGTGGCCTGGACCCCAGTGGCCGACGTACCCTCCCGGGTGGGAATGTAGGCTGTCCCCTTCGGGCTTCGGGGGGCCTGATCCCCAACTGGGGTGGTGGCATGGTGGGGCTGAGATACCATGGCCCAGCGGGGATGGGGATTGGCTGAACGGTACCGAATGCGTGTGCGGGCGCGGCCCCAGCCCGAGCAGGGGCAAAGAATGCGGGCGCTCAGCGCCGCAATCGGACGGCTACCTGCCGGCCGCGGCACCTTGGGTGCACTCAGACCTCCGGCAGCGACCACCACAGGCGGCCGGCGTGCATGGGCTTCACGATGCCCGCGCGGACGATGAAGTCGCCGAAGGTCTCCCCTTTCTGGCGTTCCTTGGAGTACTGACCAAAGATCGGCGTGAGCAAGGCGACAATCTGGTCCTCTGTGACAGACTCCTTGTACAGGGTGGCCAGGCGAGACCCGTCGAACGCGCCGCCAAGGTACATGTTGTAGGTCCCAGGCGCCTCTAAGGGGTGTGCAGGTCCGGGCCTTCTCAGAAGGCTCGGAACTCCCCCGACTTTCTGAGAAACGCTCTGAGACTTCCCAAAGGACACAGGACATTTCTCAGAAGGCCATGGGGGTTCTGAAAGACCCCAGCCCCTTTGAGAGGGCCTTCTCCTTCTCACGTCCCCCCCTCGCTCGCCGCCGATAGGTGCATGCGCGGCCCAAGCGGGGCCAAGGGACATATTGAAATCACAAAGAGGGGGCCGTGAAGTCCAGGGAGACCTCACGGCCCCCGCCATGAGTTCCACCCTCGGAGTGCGTTTCAGAGCTGCGTTGCTGCAGAACGCGAGCGTTCCAGCATCCCGCGGCGCGACCGAGCGCGGGCGCTCGAACCTCAGTCCCAACCGACATTTTTTGTTGTAAGCGGCGAGGCGGCGAAATCCGCACCAGCGCAACAGCTAGGTAGGGGCAATAGATAGCAAAGTGGCCCGCGTGCAACGAAAAAAAAGGAAGGCCGACGAGACGAAGGAGGGACGCTCAGACGCCGAAGAATTCGACGATGAGCAGCCAGCGGGCGGCAGCAGGCGCGCCGGGCCAGAGCGCGGTGGGCGGCCGTGGCGAACCACGGGGGCAATGTTGGCGCGGAGTGGCAGCCGGCCAGAGACTGGGGGGGCTGACAGGAGACATCGCGAGCGTCGTACCGCAGCGCCCCGAGGAAAACGCACAGCACTGAGCCGTGCGAGGGCGGGGGCAGCGCAAAGCAGGCAGTGACAGGGGCACTGCACCGTGACGGCTTGAGGCCAGGTGGCCGGGGGCGGGGTAGGGCGGGGAAGCCAGGTCCCAACTAACTCAGGCGAGCCCTCCGAGTGAAGAACCCACAAGCAAACAGATAGTCCAGTGACTATCATCATTACCTTCTCTTCTATGGTAATTCATGGGAACACCCCATGTCATCTGGATGAGTCTTGTGGGTCGACACGAACTCGGCGCTGATCGACGCCAGTTGACGCTAACTCGACGCTACTCATCGGCGGCTTCTCATCGAGCACCAGACGCTGGCGAACTTTGGCGCAAGCTATTAAAACGGAGCTGCGCGGACACACGAAGCTCCCAACTTCCCCCCACGCACCACAGCGACGGAGTCGGGATATAGGAGGAAACCCTCTTACTTCAAAAGGCACAAGAAACTCGTATCAGCACGCAGTGCCCAACACTGCACTGCACAGCAAGCATAAATATGGGAAGGGTATGGGAAAAGAGAATAGTGGTACGAGTGGTGAGGAAGGAGTAAATGATTTGGGTCTTGAGCCGAAATGGTTGCGACCCTTGCTCGTGACCTTCAAGTTAGGGAGTCCAATATGTCATCGGTGACACCAAAAGTCGGCCTCTGGACTCGAATCACACAGCGCACCGACAAACAGTGAACTTGATAGGTCTTGAATGCGCTGTCCAACTCTTCCGAGCGAATGTAGGGCCGCGCCATCGTGGAAGAGACGCAAAAATGGCATATTCAACTGCTGCCGTCTGGTCTGACAGATCAACGGTCACACGCTGCTCGGCCAAAACAACCAGCTATGCGGGTGCCCGCCTTGCCCCGCCTGCCGCGACTCCCTCGCGCGGCACGGGGCGGCTGAACAGCACTGGCCTTGGCACCGCCCTCCTGCTGCTGGAGTTGCCTCTGGGATTCGGCCCTGGAGCGGCTCTCCTTCCTCCAGCCGGCCCTACGGGGCCTTTGCTTCCCCGGAGAAACGCAGTCACTCCGAACGGAGCAGATCGCACTAAGCCGCGCTGGTTTTCGCAAGGTCAGACTTGGCCACGCAGTCGACTGGGAGCAACAGGTGGGGCATCCATCTGATCGCACTGCCGACCTTCCGCATGATGTCTCGAAAGACAGCGAGATCGATCGCGGCCCTCCGATCCGAACGAGATCCATTAGACAGCTTGCTGAGTATAGCTGAAAGCTGGTCGGGAGGCCCAAACAAATGCTTCGCCTAAGAGGAACCATGCGTCCAACCCTGTTGCATCGCATTAACGATAGTGCCAGAAGTAGGAAGGAGCCGCGCGAGTGGCGACGATGCATCTCAAGGGTAAAGGATGGAACTTTCTGTCTCGATGCAAGGCAGCGGGCCGCGGCGCGGCCCGGTCAGATTGGCGGCCGGCCACTGCGATTGGCGGCCGGTCACTGGGCCCAAATGGCCGCGGACAAACGCCCAATGCATCTCGCCATTGTCCTTCCCTCTCCAGAATCGGGGGGGGGGGGGGGGGGCGAAGCTCGAGTCCGCTACCAACCTTGCGCAGCAAAACAAATCTATTACACAAGAAAGGCGGCAGCCGGCGGGATCAACCAAGGCAGGTTGCCCCGCAGCACACTAATCCTCAGGCGGCTCAGATGGTCTCGTCTGGCCCGCCCTGTAGGGGGAGCGTCGTTTCCAGTCGTGCTTGAAGGGTTGTACTCCTTCCATGACTTGCAGGAGCATGCGTCTGTCGATGCCCTCCTCCGTGTAGCAATCCGCAGTCATATCGCGAGTGTCGCACCACTGCGCACAATGCGCGACGCCGCGCTCCATCACTTGCCGCGCCCAACTGATGCGACCCCAAAGTGCACATTCAATCGGCTTCTTCAGGTCTTTGCTTTACAAGGACTTGAAGACGGATTCTGCATCAATGGTCAAAGCGACCTTAATGCTCAGGCCGCCAATCTCAAGGATATCATTGAGTTGGGTGGGTGTCAGCGGCCCTGCGTGGAGTCCATGTAGCGTGACAGACGTGGGATAGCAGGCCTCCAATGGGCTGCTGCCAGTGCTTCAGCTGAGTAGCTCGAGCGGACCTGCAAGCGGTGAGACACGCAGTGCGCGCCGACAAGATGGACGACGGGCTTGCCAGCATGCGCGTGTCCGCGCCTTAGCAAGTTTGCCCCGCGAGTGCCATGGCCTTTGACTTCGTCATCGGCATCGCCGGTCAGGCGACGGCAGCCGGAATCGCTATGCAGATCGACCTCGCCCGTTGGTGTCGCCGCTTGATAGACAATCTTTTTAGGGCAGGCCTGCAACTTCCTGGAGTCGTTGCGCTTGCATGTCGGTCGGTTCTTGGACACGCTGGAGTGATGAAACATATACCTTTTTCACACTTGTGTGATAAGGGCGTAAGCCAGAGCGCCTGTGAGGCTGACAAACATAGCAGTGACCATCTTCGATTCCGTAGCCTCAGCATGCGCGCCCGTGAATTCATGGCGCTGGATAGGACGGAGCTGTTTTATGCATTCATCCTGTTCAAGGGTAACATTGCCGCCGCTGTCCTTAACATATCTCACCGCACGTGTGGTATGCGTGTGTTTGTTGGGTGCGCATGTCCCAAAATTATGATCAACGCACTTGTCGCGCTTGTCGATGGTGTCCTCGGTGCCGGCCATGTTTAGATCATCGACATGTTTGGCAGCGAGAAGGTTAGGACTCGTCTCGAATTCTTCGTCGTAAGACTTGGGTGTGAGTCCGAAGCCTTCCCGTGGTCTTCCTGAGTTCAGTGAGGCGGCTCTCGGTGCATATTTGGCGCCAGTGCCTGGCGCAAGGCACTGTAGACAGTGTCTCGACACATCATTGGGCCCCAATCCTGGGGGAGATCTGAGCGCTGAGGCTAAACCAGGCGGCAACGCAAAGCACGCCGCGCGTTCCTTCTCACCGGTCGCCTCAGCGAGCTCTTGACACGCAAGTCCCTTCAAGAAGGCCATGTTGATGTCAAGGGAAGCAATTATCCACTGCTTCCTGCGCGCTGCCGCGCTGGCGAGCAATCGCCGGCTTGGCCGCCGCGCCGTTCCTGATAACGTCTCTATATCGAGGGCTTCGAGGCCCATGAAAACCCGAAGTACCCGGCGTACTCTGATGGCGCGCTCCATCTCGCCCATTTCGTTCTTGGCGAATTTCCACGTGCATGCGCACCTGGAAAACGTGATGTTTGACGCCTTGGATATGCCTTGTATTTTGAAACACGTATTGTCAAACCATGTCTTGAGTTGAATATATCGGGCTTTCGACACCTTGGCTGGATTCGCCTGGATGTCTGCCTACGTGAGAAGGTCGTCCTCCTCGACGACTGCAGCTCGCTGGGCTGCAGCGGTCGCGCATACTCGCATCGCAGTTACACGGTCAAGGTCCAGTATCTTATGTCGTTGTTCGGATATGACGGTCTTCGACATTTGCGCCGTAAAGCAGAGTTCTACAAATTGTCAGTGCTCGCCGGAGTCCAATCCGTAACTATCATATTCGTCCGTGGAACACAAAGGGACATGATGTGTCTCATTTGTGTAAATGGCCTGTGGGTTACCCCGCGTAAGCATGTTCTCTTGCTGTTCCTCAGCTACTGCGACCAGCGACCCGTTATCAGAAATTATCTGAACGGGTGCAGTGTGAGGCCTTTCCACTGGAGTAGCCTTCAGCAGCTCTCTTTGGTCCTGTAGTTCCGCGTGCGACACTTCCATATTGTGTGCCTAGCTCGAGGTTCGCCTCCGATGCCTCGTAGATTGTGGGAAGCCGTCCGTCTTCCTGTGGTGGTTCGGCTTCTGGGGCCCCCCCGGCGTCGCTGCCTTGCGCTGGCATGTCTGTCAGCTCATCGAGCTTCGTCACGTCTTGATCAAAGCCCGCTTGAGGTTTGGTGTGCCTCAGGCACTGGGTGATTCTAGAATGTGCGGAGATCCAGTTATGTCTTGAACGTTCAAGGCAGTGCCCTCAGCCCCATGGCAATGGCAGCCTGGGTTCACGTCGTTGCCACTGCGCACCAGCGTACAACTGCCAGCATACGTTACCAGGGGTAGCTCATGGCTGCTCTTACCTAGCCTAACAGAAACAACGCTTTCGATGCGGGAGAAATTCATGGTGAGGTAATGGAGATTTAAATGTACATTTGGATATAGTCGGCTCGCACTCGCCATCTTGAGCACTCCCTTTTTGCTCGGGAAGTATCCGAAGTTCATGGCAGGTCGGACCGTAGGTAGACTGGCCAGGAATGCCAACGCAGCCCGTAATGCTGTGTTGTCCGAGCCAATCTCTCGAGTGATCAGAGCCTCAATGTACACCGAATGTCTTGCATCACCGCGCTGGACTTGCACATCGCGATTTCCCACTCTTACGTGACTTGACCCCTGTCAGGATCGTTCCTCACGACCGGGAAGGGTCCGTTCCAACCACCCCAGTCGTCTTCCGCACTTGCGGGGCGAGGGTAGTCAACGAAATCTCCTTCGTTGAAATAGAGCTGACCAGCGATGGTCGTCTTAGTCTGTAGTGCGCAGCTTGTCTGTGCAATTGCAGTGGCTTGTGTAATGGCCTCAATGCGTGCCTGGCGGATAGTCTTTTCTCGTGGATGATCGGATGTCTCCGTCTGTTGTTCAATCTAGCACGGGCTAGTCAGGCAGAGTTGCTGGCTGTCGACCAAACGGGGCGTTGCATGGAGATACCTCGTTGAAGAAGGTAAGCGCCTCGGTGGCAAACAGAGCCCCATGGAATAGTCGGGCGAACACAAGTGGCATGTCTAATATATTGAGTTCAGCCTCCACGGCGCGAAGTACGCGTCGTAGCACGCCATTGCTGGCGTCGCCGGTAGTAGCGCGTTGTCCACGCGCGCGTATCCTTAGCTCAGTGCCCACTGCCTTAAGAACTGCTTTTGCTGCGCCATTATTGAGAGCACCCTCTCCGTCAGAGTATAGTACTTGGGCAGGTCCGAAGTGCATCCAGCACTGATGGTACGCGTCTCGGACGCTGGTCATAGTTTTGCCTGGCACCTCGATTCCAGCACCGCATCGAATGCAACGGTCGATTATGTGAAATACCTTATGCTCCTGTTTGTAGAACATCAGGCCGCATTCGACTTCGTCATCGATTATGCCAGGCAGCGCGGTTGACGACGCTCTAGTCTGCCCATGCGTTCCCCAAGCCCTGCGCCCCCCGCATGTATCACATGCGCCTTTTATCCGGTTCTGCCGGACACTTTCCAGACCAGCCTTGGTTGATACGAGTCATCTTAGGCTCCTTGGCGTGGAACCGTCGCAGGTGTAGTTTTCGCAACTCGCGCGTTGCCGCGCTCGGGTCAAGGCCGCGCAGGTTCTGTAGATTGATCCGCAAGTCAGGCCACGACCAGTCTTGAACCTTGGACGAGCAGCAGAGTCACCCGCAGGTGGCGGTGGAGGTGGATCACCTCCCTGTTGTCGTCCACGTCTGGCTACTACTGATGGTAGTCGTGTGCGGTCGCCCAAGCTGCCAGCCACCCGGCTCTGCAACATATCTGCCCACTGCAATGTCGCGGCCGCTGGCGCCCGCAGTCGGCCCAGCTCTGAAGCCAGGCTTCGGAGCTTGTAACCGCGCAGTTTGTTCGGCGGCTGGACCCTCGGAAGCAGCTGCCGCCGCAGGCGGTGGTGCGTCGGAAGCAGCTGCCGCCGCAAGTGGCAGGGCTGCCAGCTCAGCAGGGGCTGGGGCCCCTGTCCCTGGTTGGCAGGCAGCCCCCACGGTTTGGCAAACTGACATTTGCCAAATGCAAGTAAGTGGCCAGGGCTAGCCGTTGCACAATTCTTTTGGCAGTTTGGGCAGCCCCCGTAATAATCCTCTTTGTCGTGCCACCCACAGCGTTCAGGGCTTCTGCTGTATAGCGGGGAGCGCGCGTTGGCGTCGTCAGCACATGCAGGGCCCCCCCCGCCCCCCCGACAGCGGTTGCACGATGCGTCCGCCAAGGTTGCGAAGGGTCGCCGGGTCGTCCACATCGAACCCGCGTGCGTTCGTGACAAGAACAGGCGACGTAGGAGGGTGCTCGTGCAAAGGATTACGGCCGACCGCGAACATGTCATGCGTAATTCGAACTGCCCCAACGAAGAGGGATTGCAGCTTCGGAGTACACTGCGCTGCCTTGGCCACTTCTTTGTTGCAGACCGAGGGAGGCATGTTGGCGGTGGTCAGCGCACCGCTTGTTGTCAAAGGGTGTCAGTAATGAGCGGTGGTTGGCCATTAGTTCAATAGGCTCGCGCGTTGCTACGCCATGGGTGGTGCGTGTGTGTGCGTGCGTGGGGGGGGGGCGCCATGGGGGGGGGGGGGTCACGAAGGCCCGTAATGCATTGGTCTATGCAAGTCCTGCCTGCGAGTGCCCTCGCGCTGAGCTGGCGTCGTCCACCGCGGTTTTTCATCCACCCATGTGCCCACTTGTTGATGACGTAAGTCGAATCGTCGGAGATCGCCTTGACGTGCGGCGACCCTCCCACATAACTTGATGCGTGGAAGGTCTCCTTTTGTGATGTTCATACCACGTTGCATCGTTGATCTTTGCGTTGAAGAAGGAGGGTGGCCCAGTAGTTTCGCAGTTAGGTTGTAGGGCTACAGCCTTCGCAACACATGCACCCGACCAATGCATCGCTGCGACCTGGACATCCTTGTTCCCAAGGTCAACGTAAGAAAGTTTGTCGAGGTTGCCCCCTGAGGGTAAGCCTCGGCAAACTGCGAATTTTGATATCCCCCGCCACCTCCGCATAATTCCAGCACGTATACCTCGTTGTTTTGACCGTAGCACAGGGTTGGGGTATGGTAGGCACATCGGTCATGTCCCTGACCGCAGCGAGCGCCGCCGCGTAGGTCCTCTGATCCATCAAGAGAACCTTCGCCATCTGGGCCGAGCGCTCGTCCAGCGAAACGCCCTCTTCCAAGAACATCAGTTTCCATTTGCATGGAAGAGGCAATCCTTGCGTGGCCACGCGATCGCAGTTGGTGTCGAGCAGAGCACAATACTCCGTGAAATTCTCTGCCTACTTGCGAGAGTAGTCCAACAGACACTCGCGAGCCACCTTGCGCCTCTCGTCACCATGTCTTTCTCTAGACTTCAAATCCAATCGAGAGATAAGCACGTCAAACCCCCATGAGTTGGTCAGAGTCTCGTCGTCGATGTCCTCGAGCTTTCTCTGCATCTCCTGGTCGAAGACACGAAACAAACGATCTGTTTGCTTGAATGAAGGAACATCTGTCAGTATCCGCCAGCGGTGCACCTTGCGGCGCCGTATACGAGAATGGCTCCACTTGGTCCACTTCTCTGGATCAGAGAAATCCTTGCCGGAGCTTTTGCCTTCGTGTCTGAAGTTGCGCTTGATGTTGGTATCATACCAGCTCCAGTCGTACTGCAAATCCTGGGTGGCCATCTCCAGTCTGCTAACCCTGGGTGGCCATCTTTTCACTCAATATGATCCCATCTGTTTGACCATGAGTGCCCGGTCGAAGCCGGCGTCCACGTCTGGCCCGAGGTTGACCATGGCTGTTGTCTTCCAATATGACTCGTGCCAGTGGTACCTCGCTGTGTACCAGCCGCCTCTCGCCACTGCTCCAGCCTGCCCTGAGGCGCCTCGGTGGCTGACGCTGCCGCGCCATTGCGTGGACCTGGCTCGGCACTCGTCGACTGTTTCGAACGAAAATCACGCCGTCCCCTCCACGAGTGCACTTCCGTCTGAAACCACCTGCCGTCGGACATCGCCTTGACCTGGCTGTCCGTGGGAGGGGGCTTTGACGTCTTCTGAAACGCCCAGGTTCTCTGAGCCCCGCTGCGACCTCGCAGAACTGCCCGCTCCCGGGAAGACGTCCAGGAGAGGACGTGCCAACTTGACCGCTTCGGCCTAGTCGAGATTGAGACCCTCCTGCTGCAACAGTGTGTGTGTGTGTGCCATTATACGTACCGTCGAATGTTCCCCCGGTCTGGCCTGCGAAGTCGGTCCGCGGAATCGAAGCTGCTCACAGCCCCGCTACTATTGTCGCCCCACGGACGACAGCGACGAACTCGGGATGTCGGACGAGACCCTTGTCCTTGAACAGGTACACCAATACTCGCATCAGAACGCAATGCCCAACACTGCACTGCACAGCAATAATACAAAAGGGAAGGGTATGGGAAAGGAGAACGGTGATACGAGTGATGAGGAAGGAGTGTATACAGTATATGGTTTGGGTCTTGAGCCAAAATGGTTACGACCTTTGCACGTGACCTCCAAGCTCAGGGAGTCCAGTATGTCATCGGTGACACAAAAAGTCGGCCTCCAGACTCGAATCACATACCAACAATTGCTAGGGCAAGTTCGTGTCGTGCCAACGTCGGCGTCGGTTTCTGACACCACGGGGATCGTTCAACCTTAAACGATCGGCCGTTTCCGAAACGTCAGATCGTTCCACATCGACCGATCGCCGGCGGCGTTCAAAATTGAACGCTGGCGGCTGGGTCGCTGCCGGACGACGCGATGCGAACTTACCGTACCGAGCCACCCTCTAATTAGGCCGCCCCCGAGCCTTGCCGATGAAGCCGATCTCCGCCATGGACGGCCGCCCGCAGGAGTTCGGGCACCCGGTCATGCGGATGGAGATGTCCCGGTCGCGCAGGCCGACCCGCTCGACGACTGCCTCCAAGCGGCCGACCAGCGTCGGAAGGTACCGCTCGGCCTCCGCGAAGGCGAGAGGGCAGGTAGGCAACGCCACGCAGGAGATCATGTTGCGCCTGAGGCCGCTCACCGTGGTCTCGTCGTTGTGGGGGATCCTGTTAGGGTGTTGCCAAAGGTGGTGGGATTGTTTTCCACCGCCACCTGCATAAGTAGGAGGGGGAGGGGGTCCTCCTCCCCCTCTTCTTCCTCCTCCTCCTCCTCCTCCTCCTCCTCCTCCTCCTCCTCCTCCTCCTCCTCATCCTCCACCTCCTTCCCCCTCCAACTTATGGTTGTGGTGGTGGTGGGACACACCCATCAAGAAGCGACCCTGGCCCAGGGTGACCCCAGCTTCCCTCGAGGGGCCCAGGGCTCGTGGCCCTCCAGAGCAGCCCTCACGAGGCCACAGGGGGCCCCAGAGGCGCCCAAGATGGCGCGAGAAGCTGGGGGCACCTCGAGCCAGGACTAATTGTGGCAACACCCGACCTGTACTCGTCGAGCAGCTTCTGAACGACGGCCTTCTTCGACGCTGGCACGTCCGTGATGAGCAGCTGCTGGTTGCAGGTCATGCGGAAGCCCCCCACGCCCTTGAGCTCCGCCGCTATCTTCTGCAAGCCCGTGCGGACATCGCCCTTTACGCGCCCGCCCGTCACGAGGCAGCCGCAGTGCCAGAGCCCGTCGTCCTTCGTCTGGAACCAATTGAACAGGTCCCCCCTGCGTTCGAACTTGTACGGCCTCGGCAGCGCCAGCGAGGGCGACGGCGACCACCACGAACAAGGCCACGACGGCGACGACCACCATCACGACGGCGACCACGACAACGACGACCACCACCACCACCACCACCACCACGACGACCACGACGGCAACCACCCCCACCACGACGACAACGACGACAATGAGGACGACGACGACGACGACGACGACGACGACGACGACGACGACGACGACGACGACGACCACGACCACGACGACGACGACGACGGCGACGACGACGAGAGACCACGACATACAGCCTCGGCTCGCCGAGCTTCTTCCCGAGCCGCTCCTCCACCTGCTCGCGGTACCACTGCGCCCCGTAGTCCTCCACCGTGTACTTCACGCGCGCGTGCTTGCGGCCAGTCCGGTCGCCAAAGTCGCGCGAGACCGTCATCACGCACTCGGTCACATACCTGCAGTCCTCTGGCTCGCAGAAGCCGATCACATCGGCCAGCCTAGGGTGTGTCTTCTGGTTGTTGTGCGTGAAGCCTAGACCACCGCCGACGGTGACGTTGTAACCGACGAGCTTCCCGTTCTCGATGATGGCGATGAAGCCACAGCAGTGCGCGAAGACGTCCACATCGTTGGAGGGCGGGATAGCGAACGCGACCTTGTACTTCCGCGGCAGGTACGTCAGGCCGTAGAGGGCCTCCTCCTCCAGCGGCGTGCTGCCCATCACCTGGCACTTCTCCTCGTACTCGGCCCCGTGCACCAGGAAGATCTCGTGGTACGCGCCTGACCGCGGCAGGCAGTGGTCGTGGGAAGCGTAGCAGTCGCTCATCACCTGCTCCATGATCTCCCGGCTGCACACGGACGGGTCGCTGGTGCACAGGACGTTGCGGCACACGTCTCCGCACGCCGCCACTGTGTCCATGCAAGCGCGGTTCATGGCCTGCATGCAGGCCTTCATGTCGCGCTTCAGGACGCCGTGCACCTGCCAAGTCTGCCGGGTGGTGATCTTCAGGGTGCCGTTGGCGAAAGTCCCACAGATGTCGTCCATGGCGAGCCACTGCTCAGCGGTGCAGTAGCCTGCCGGCAGGCGGATGCGGATCATGAAGCTGAACGCATTCTCGAGCCCCAGCTTGGAACGCTCCTCGCGCAGATCGCGGTCATCCTGCTGGTAGCTGCCATGGGACTTGACCAGCTTGGTGTCCTGAAAAGGAACCTGCCCCGTGGTCTTGTCGTCGAACGACTCGCGCATGGAGCCGCGGAGCTGCCTGGTCTCCACTTTGATCTGCTCGTCGGACTTTACGGGGCCGTCGTCGCTGTCGCCGCCGCCAGCAACCTTGTCAACGCCCAGGCGTGAGTAGAGCCCTTCGCGCCACTCGGCAAAGCCTGTATGGTACTGGTCCACGTCCTGGTCGTCGCCGAAGCCGGTCGGCACCAAGCGGCTCGCGCCGAGGCCCTCCATGAACGCGTCTAGATCGCGCGCCGGCTTTGCGAAGTTGACCTTAGAGTCCTCGGTGCCCTTGCCCCAGTAGTGAGAGTCCCCGAGCCCGAAGACGCAGTACTTCGTGCTGCCCAGATTGCCCCGCAGCTCGTCTGCTCGGGCCTGTAGCTTCTCCCAGAAATTGCGGCCGTTGCCGCATGACTCGCCCTTGCCCGCCGTCGCGATGCAAAAGACGACCAGCGACTCGCTCGGCAACGCCCCCGGGTCGAATGAGTCCGCGGTGCAGCACCGCACCTGGAGGGCGAAACGGTACCGATGCAGCCACTCCACGGCCTCTCCCGTGGTGCTTCCTGGCCAGGATCTCGACGCGAATCCGGCCGTGGCGACGAGAGCTCTCCAGGATGAGCAGCGGTATCGGTGCTTTCCTGAGATCCGACACTGCGAACAAATACAACATCGCAAAACATCGCGACCCGAGCCCTAGACCCTATGTTTCTGGGCCAGTTCTCGAGCCAAGACGATCTGTGATGGTCCCGGGGACCGAAACAATACTTTGCGCCTGGAGTGGGGACGGAAAGTGTGGGCACGATGCCCAACAGCAGTGCCTTTTCATGTGGAACACGAATTGCTGTCTTTCGGAGCCATTCTGACAACAGTTGTCCGCTTGAGCAACAAATACTGTCAAATGGAAAAGGATTGCCGTCGAAATGACAACATGTGCTGTCCGACGTCCCACGTGACTAGGCACTGCTGTCGAACATCGTACCCAGATGTCCCGTCCCCACTCAGGGCGCCAGGAATTGCGAAAACGCCCTTTGTGGCAAAAATGCTGCGCCCTCAGGGTCCGCCCCGAGCACCGCGCTGCTGGCGAAGCCGCCGCCGCGGCACTGGCGCGCCACGGCCTTCGCGCACTCCTCCGCGTGGCCGGTGTCGGAGGAGTACAGGATCGTTACGGTCTTGCCCGCGTCACCGAGGCCGCCCGCGAGGCCCCCGCCCTCGCCGTCCGCGGACGGCTCGGCAGGGATGCTCTTCTTCGCGATCAGCGTCAGCAGGTTCTCGCGATCCAGGAACGCCTGGATCTCCTTGCAGGGGGAGCGATCGTCACGAGCGGCGAACGCATCCATGTCCACGCCCTCGCCGTCTGGATTCCAGGGCGCGATCCCGCGGATGCGCGGTCACACGAATGCGCGTCGCGCGAGGCATCCGCGAACAAAAGCACCCCGTATCCGCGGGGTCGCTGCCTAGGGGTCCGGCCCGCGAGGCCGCGGATACGATTACCTTCTTCGCCAAAGAGATATGGAGGGGGGGGGGGAATGGCTCAGGGGGGGTGGGACATCGCGCTCACATCGGCGATACACCGCCGGCAGGTCGGCGATGAACCCCCGATGTCGACTCTGGCGCTTCCTGGGCGGGATGGGCCATCGGGCCCTGATCGGGGGTCGATGCGTTCCTCCCTGAGCACGTCCGGGTCCCCACTGGTTTTCGGGCGCCAGAACTCGGGCCTCCAGCGGCCGCTTGGGACGATCTGAGCACCCCCAGGGAAGCTCTCGGCAAGACTGGGGTGCTGGAGAGCATCCCGAGGCTGGAAGACTGCCGAGGTCCGACGAAAGCGCCCGAAGACCCTGAACCTCGAACCTCAAATCACGACCAGAGCCATACACCCCGCCTTCCTGCTGCGTTCCTCCAACTGGATCGGGCTGTGGTAGTCCCGGGTCGCGAAACTGGACGCAGACGTCCGAGGTCCGACGAAAGCGCCCGCAGACCTCGAGCCCCGAGCCGTGAGCCTGACTTCCGACCCCCCCCTGCCGTTGCCCCCTATAGTCTTAGGAGGCTGCTTGCGCCCCGATGGATGGGCCATTGAGCCGTCGGAGTGGGACGGAGTAAGCCCGGGATGAACTAAGCCGGATGAAACAGGATCGGGCCGGAGTAAGTTCACCCAGATTAGGCGGGATTCAACCAGATTGGGTCCGTTTTGGGCCAGGGGAATATGCTGAATTGAACCTCTCATGAGTTGCATCCTAACTGGTCTTTGCGCACGCGGTCGGCGCCCGACAAATCGCCGCTACCCGACGCCAGTCGACGCTAATCGACGCCAATCGACGCTCGATCGACGATACTCGATGCCAAATTGGCGCTTTCTCGTTAATTACCAGGCGCAGATGCACTATAGAGAAGCTGGCGCTAATCGACGCGAGTCGGCACACGCTAATGCACTCTGAGAATGTCGGACCTCAAAGTTCTGGGAAAGCCGAGGAATACCGATTCGGCTACTCCCCAGACCTCTCCGGGGGTACGTTCTGACCAGGATTTCGAAGTGAATCCAGCCGCGGCGACGAGGGCCTCCCAGGAGGCCCACAAGGCGAACACCAGGGAAGGGCAGCGGTGATGGCACCTTTTCCTTCTCCTAGGTTCGGTCCTTGCGCACGCGGTCGGCGCCCGCGACGAAGGCGCTCGCGCCCGCCGCCTGCGGGAGGAGGAGGAGGAGGAGAAGGAGAAGGAGGAGGAGGAGGAGGAGGAGGAGGAGGAGGAGGAACATGAAGAGGAGGAGCAGGAGGAGGAGGCGGAGGAGGAGCAGGAAGAGAACCAGGACGTGGAGGAGGAGGAGGAGGAGGAGGAGGAGGAGGAGGTGGAGGAGGAGGAAGAGGAGGAGGAGGAGGAGGGGGAGGAGCATGAAGAGGAGGAGCAGGAGGAGGAAGACACAGAGGAGGAGGAGGAGGAGGAGCAGCAGCAGCAGCAGGACGATGGCCTCTCTGCGGGGGTCGTACGTGAACGGGGTCCACTTCGCGTCGCCCCGCACTGCGGCAGGGGAGGCCAGCAGCACCACGACTGGCCCGTCCGTGAAGGAAGACGCCTCGGCCCAGGGGCATGCAAATGAGTACGCGAGACCTCCTCCTCCTCCTCCTCCGCCTCCTCCTCCTCCTCCTCCTCCTCCTCCCTCCTCCTCCTCCTCCTCCTCCTCCTCCACGTCCTCCACCACCTCCTCCTCCTCCTCCTCCTCCTCCTCCCCCGCCTCCCCCTCTTCCTCCTCCTCCTCCTCCTCCTACCTCCACCGCCCGCCTCATGTCCCAAGCTTGTGGCAGGGTCATCAGCTCGTCGTTGTCGTTGTCGTCGTGGTCGTCGTGGTCGTCGTGATCGTCGTTTTTGTCCTTCTGTGTCGGCGGCACCGGCCGTAAGGCCTTCACAATAAATATGCACAGGTCCCAGGATTCCCCATATGTTTCCAGATGCTTCGGAATTTCGCCTTCCCCTCGAATTCCCATATGTTCCATATTTTCCGGGGAATCGTCGTTCAATTGTGTCTGTGATGTTTGCTCTCCTCCTGAGCCTCCGGGCTCTCTCAACTAGGATATTGCACACCAGGAGCCCGCTTGAACCATTCGCGATCACGCCCGTGACCGTCCCCGCTCCCCCACCCATCGCCCCCCCCCCCCCCCTGGTCGCGTCACGCTTCGCGCCGGCGCCGCCGTCTGGGAATGGGCTGTCCCTACGGCCCAAACGGCGCTGGCGCGGGTCGTGCCGTGACCGGCCCCCTCCCCCCCTCGTCCCCCCCTGTCACGCCCGCCATCGCCAGGGGACAGAAAACTGCCTCGAGCGAGGAACGGAACATGCTTCGGCCCACGGCTGTAGCTGTCTCGGGCGCGCCAGGGAGCCCCGGCGTAGCACAGGAAGCTCCCGCTTGGGGGCCCCGTGAGCGCCTCTCGCAGGACCGCCGCCGCTCCTGCGCCGCTCTCCGCGGCCGCGGCGAAGACGCCCCCGTACTCCATGGCGCGGAGCACCTCGCAGGGAAGCAAGCGACTGCGGGCCCCAAGAAGGTACACCACCACCAACTCCACTCCTCCTCCCTCCTTGACCCTCTTCTTCCCCTCCTCGTTCCTGGCAGAGGGAGGGGGTGAGGGAGGTGGTGGTAGTGTGTATTCCTGGGCCCCGCAGCAACGTCACGAACATGGCTTTCAGAGCGCCGCGCGCACATCTTGGATAGGCACTGGACCCACCCTCCCTGCCGCTCGAAGCGCGCCAGGGCCGCGCGGATACAGTCGAAGCATACACAGACGAACGTCAATCAAGAACACGAGCCCTTTCGCCGGGAGCGCAAGGCCTCACGACGATACGCCAAGCAAGCGCCACGCCCACAAACACGAGTAACATCAGGGCACCCCTCCGAAAGACAGGCCAAACTTTGCGCTTCGCGCTGAGCGAAGCGCGAATAACCTCGCGCTCTCGCGCCGAACCCCAAGGGAGAAGAGAAGGACGAGGAGGAATCGGAGCCGAACCGCGAAGCGCCAACAACCCCGCGCCCTCGAGGGTGCCCTTGGAACTTGAGTCAAACTGGAATCGAACAAGAGACGAACTGGAGTCGAACTGATCTGTGAGGTGGTCCCCAGGAAGGAAGGTCTCCAACACGAGCATCTAAAATACCCTCTGGAGGCCTCCCCCATATGAAAACGGAGTAGATGGGGTCGGAGGATCGCGCCGCATCGCCGATGCATCGCCGATGCGTCGTCGATACATAGTCGATGCACTGGCGACGTGGGCGACGCATCGACAACGTCGTCGTGGAGGAAAACGGGCTCCGCTTGAGCCGCATTGTCGATGCATCGGCGATGCGGTGCGAATGTTGGACCCCATCTGCTCGGACCCCATCTAGCAGGCCTGGACCCTCCCAAAGGGCTGTTCTTCACCCTCTCGTGCAGCTCCACATGGGGGTTGCGGAGATGGGGGGGCGACCGGCCGCCGCGTTTGCAAGCCAAGCGGCGCTCAAAACACTACCAGACCGGCTTCGGGGCCCGAATTAGAACTCACTGTGTCTCGATTTCTGTCAATTTGTTTCGGATTTTCTCAGTCTCTCAATCAGTCTCAATTTCTCTCAGTTAAATCTGGCGGCGCGCTCAACCTTCGCCTCTCCCTGTGGCGCAACCACCATGTGGAGCTGAGAGGCCCTCGTTCCAGCTCGACCTTGGCTCGGCGCTGGAAGAGGCCGCTTCTTAGAAGCGCACGGGCCTTGCGTCTACAGACAAGGGCCGCGCCACCTGAGAGGCAGGGGTGCTTCGAAGAGGCTTTCACCCCTCCCCCACACCCACCTCTGCGCGTGGCCGAACGGGGGGAGCGGCCAGCGCCGGTCCACGAGATGCACGCGGAGCTCCGAGCGCTTGATGTTTGCTGGGCGGCGCTCGAGGGGGCGCTCGAGTGGGGTCTGGGCCCAGAGCCCCTCGAGCCAGGAGAAGATCACGACGGGAAATTCTTTGCCATTTTCGGCCCCTGGGGGCCTCGGAACTGTCGAAGAACGACTCAAGATGAAAAGTCGGGCCCGGGAAATGGGTTGAGACCTCTGGGGGTCGACGCCATGAAAAAATCATGACGTCGGGGTCTGGGGGGGCTGCACTTAGGATAAAGGGAAGGCCTTCTCGGAAGGTGGCGGGGCTTCGCAAACGCTCTCGTGCCTTGTGAGAATTTGTTCCGTGTCTTCGGGCAAGACTTGGGGAACTTCTCAAAGGCCAAGGGGTTTCCGAACTTTCTGAGAAGGCCCGCCGCGTCTCACTTCCCTCCCAGGTTCGCCACCGACTATGTTTATGCTGAATTCCCTCCGTCGACCTCGATCTGCGACACGGGGCCTGGGGAGACCGGAAGGCACCGACACCGCCATTCCACGGACCCCTCCTGGGTGGAGGAGGAAGAGGAGGAGGAAGAGGAGGAGGAGGAGAAGGAAGAGGAAGAGGCGGAAGGAGGCGGGAGGAGGAGGAGGAGGAGGAGGCGGAAGAGGAGGAGGAGAAGAAAAAAGGGGAGCCTTATGCAGGCAGTCTGAGCAGGACTCCGAGGATAATCCAGCCGTGGTGACGAGAGCTCTCCAGGACGAGCAGCGGTGTCGGTACCTTCTCCTCCCCTCGGGGCCGCTCTCCGCGACGACCACCACGCCGAGCTGGCTGCTGCCGTCTGCCAGCGCCGCGTGCACCTCGCGCAGGCTGGCGTCGCCGCACGGCAGCACGGCCCAGGACTTCCCGCTGGCCGTGCCTCCCTCGCAGTGCTTGAGCGCGTCGCACAGGCTCGTGGCCACCTGCGAGCCTACGGGAGCAGAAAACTGCACAAACGCACGAACTGTCGGAGCTCCGCGCGGACTTCTTGGATCGGCGCTGGGCCCCCGGGGCGGCGCACACGGCGCAATCCCTGGCGCGCTCCTCGTGCCAAGGAGGGGGATCCAGCGCCGATCTGTGAAATCCGCGCGGAGCTCCAAGAGCTTTTGCGCAGCTGTTTCTTCTCCGAGAGCCTTTGAGCGTATCCTTGAGGAGGCCAACGGCACTACTGATCGCCATCCTTCGATCTCGTCTGCGAGCTTCTTCGTGGGCTGTTTAGCGCCCGCGGGCGCTCGAAAGGCTAGACAAAAGTATTGGGCCAGAAAGGCAGCTTGAGCCAAGTGGCTTGGGGGTGGGGATGCACGAACAGAAGGGCGGGCAGAACAGATAGGGAGGGAAGATGAGGTGGAGGACAAGGAAGAGAAGAGTAGATGACAGATGGGAGTGAAGGGTAAGGAAAGGATATGGGAAGGAGAAAAGGGAAGGAGAGGAGAAGACGTCCAAGATGCCCCAGATGCCTTCCAAGACGTCCCGGGCAAACCACCAAGGCTGCCGACATGGCTCAAGATGCCTTCCAACAAAGCCTACTATGGCCGCCCCAACATGCCTTCAAGACGACCCAAGAGGGCTGCAAGAGAACCTCCTGCAGGGCCCGAAGGAGACAACATCACTTATTGACAACCATTTGTTGATTGGCGTGCTCATTCTCACCTTTTCGGGCTTCCGTAAGCTCTAAACGACCCAAGGGGCCTCCAGGCGGCCCCAAGACAGCCCAAGAGGGCTCCAAAGTTGCCCAAGAGCAGCCCAAGAGGACCCCAAGTCGGCCCAATGTTGCCATAAGGTGGCCCTCGAGAACCCCAAGAGGGCCGCATGATGACATAGAGAGCCCCCCAAGGCGGACTCCGAACACGTAGAGGATGGCCCAGGCGCGCCCTCAGGCGGCCCAAAGGGTCAAGAGCATCCGAGGCAACCCAGAGACGCTGCCAAGAGGTACTCAAAGTCCACCGAGAAGCTCCCAAGAGGCCCAGACGACGCACCAAACAAGCCTCCAAGGCCTTCGATCACACGCCAACGCCTCCCGAGCCCTCTCGAATAGCGGCCACCCAGCACAATGCGCTGACACGGTGGCTGGACTTGCCGCATGCAGCTGGGTATATGCATAGGTGATGTGTTGAGAAAGCGTGGTAAGGAGGGACGGGGAGAAAGAGAGGGAACGAGGGGGGGAAGAGGGCGCATCCATATACAGCCCCACACCCAACACCCATTCGTACCAGCATTCGCTTACGACGGTAGTGCTATTCCTCTCCTCCTCCTCCTCCTCCTCCTCCTGCTCCTTCTCCTCTTGTTATGTTTGTTGTGTGTCTCTCTCTCTCTCTCTTATGATTGTTTTTTTTGTTTTCTCTCTCTCTCTCTCTCTTTCTCTCTCTGTCGACGTACTCCAGGCGGCCGCCGGGTGCGAAAGGCGGAGGGGCGCGCTTGTCCACGATCCGCTGCTCGGGGGCGGCGCCGGCCTCGACGGTGATCCGCTCGTGGACGCGCTGGCGCCACCCGAGCGCCAAACTCCACCCCGTCGGGAACACGGCCAGGCGCGGCGCGATCATGCCGCCGCGGGCGAGAGGCTGCCCGCCGAAGCGCGCGACGCTCACCGCCGACGCCCGCGCAGGCCTGAAGGAGAAGTGCCCCCGGAGCGGCTCGGGCAGGCTCACGCGGTAGAAGGCGTCACTCAGACCGGCGACCCAGATGTGCAGCTCGTCGCCCAAACCGAGCTCGAGTCGGGAGAGGGCGCCCCCCGTGCAGAGGCTGACCCCCGCGGGCTCCGTGAACCAGGGGTTGGCCCGCCTGCAGTCAATCACCATGCGTAATCGCTGGTCATTTTTCTCCACGAAGGCGGCCCCGACCAACTCCATGCAGGACTCGGCAAAGTCGACGAGGCCGCGCTCGTGCAACGTGCGAATGAAATCTCCATAAGCTCCCCGACGTTGCAGCGCTGGGTCGGAGTGCGCCCGCTCCAGCCCCGCCCCCTGTAGCCGCTGTTTCGCGCGCTCGGAGCACAGCAAGTTCCGAGCGATGACATCCTTCACGGCGTCACTCCCGCCGCTCCCCCACAGCGTCTCGAGCGAAGCCTGTCGAGCCGCGCCCGGGGGCAGTGAGATCGCGCCGGGGCGGCGGGACCCGAGCTTGGCAGAGCCCGCGTCGCACCAGCTCGCCACGCGAAGCTTCCGACGAGCCTCTGCTTGAGTGAGTCCCGGGGAAGGGCCCCCCAAGGCTCGCACCGACTCGTCGATGATGTCGATGGCCTCGCGCTGCGCGCGCGAGACGAAACCTGAGCGCGGAGCGCCCTGCCCAAGCCCCGGCTGCGGAGCGCGGCAGGACATCCCGTTGAGGCTCCGCGCGGCCTTGTCGCAGTCCAGCCCCGCGGCAGCGCGGGCGCCGATCCCCTGGCGAACCGACCGGCTGACCGCGCCACCCTCCTTTCGAGAAAGAGCCGACGGGCCGGCGGGGCAGCGGAAAAAATTCACGAGGGGCGTCGCGGCCATCTCCCGCGTCAAAACTTCGGCCATCCGCGGCAGCTGGCCTGGGGCGTGGAAGGCGGTCGGGCCCCGCCCTTGAAGGACCCGACCAGTGCGAGGAGGGCGTCGTTGCCCCTGTCGGCCCTTGCGGAGGGCCCCCCGTTCTTCTCGTGCAACTTTCAAGTTCTTGGCCAGCTTCGCCTCGCGCTCTGCCTCCGTCCTCGCGTCGTCCAGCAGCTCCGGGCAGATCATCAGCGTGGCCGAGGCCCTCGTCGTGCCGGCGAAGGCCTGCTGTTCCTCCAGGGACACCTTCCCCTGGTAGCTCTTGGACTCGGCCTCCCGCGCGCGCCCGAGTGGCCGACCTCCATCGTCTGGGGCCGACGGAACTGGCACTCGACCATGATGAGGTTGCCCCCGCCGAGCCAGTCGACCAGCAACCCCTGGGCCAGCGCCTGGGCGACGTTAAAATGCTCGAACGCCCCCCGAGAGTTCCAGTTCTTCCGGCAGGCCGTCTTGAAACACGTTCGCGGTGGCCCAAGAGCCCGCTCCCCTCCGGATTGATGAACTCGATGCACAGGCTGGAGCGAGGCCCGGGGAGCTGCAAGTCGCTCCCGAAACCCTCCTGCCTGATGGCGGCCGTCATCTGCGCCCAGGCGCGCCACCGCCGGTCCTGGCGGTTGCGCCTGATCGGAGAGATCCGGGCGTCCGTGGCGATCGCGCGGTCGAAGAAGGCCACCTCGTTGGCGGGGTCGACGTGCTCCACGAAGGCTCCGTTCCCGTCGGGCAGCACGTGGGCGTCGCGGTTGCCGAGGGCCAGCGCACTCCGAGCGTGGTCCACGATGTCACCGCACCTGAAGGGGCCCATCGCCATCGCGGCCCTCCACGCCGCCCTCGCAGGCGCAGCCGCAGCGCCCGGCGCCGCCCCTTGCAGAAGCCCGACCCGGGCAGGCTGTGGGGCCGCCAGGCCGAGAGCTCCCGCCACCGCCAGCGGCTTCAGGAAGACGAGGCTCGCCAGCCGCCGCGGGTCGCCTCGAGCGGCCGCGATCCGCTGGCACTCGGCCTGGGCCTCCGCCTGCGCGTCAGCCAACGCCCTCGCCCGCTCGGCCGCCGTCGGCTGCTGGCGGAAGCGGTAGACCCATCCAGGAAGCAGCCCGGCTGGCACCGCGGCCCAGGCCGCAAGGTACCAGACCGCGGACACGCCCACGCTGTCGTCCTCGGCGTAGACGTCGCCGTCTGGACTCAGGATGACAGAGCTAGAATCCGACAACGCCACCTGCCCCAGGATCAGCCACTGGTGCCAGGAGTGCTCGTCGCCGGCGTACAGCACGAACGCCCACTCCTTCGACCTGAGCTCCAGCGCCATCGGCGCTGTTGGGCCCAGGCCTGGTGCGACGCCGAGAGCCTGCCCAGGCCGCCCGCAGCGCCACGGCCAACATCACCCCGACCACCACACCGAGCACCAGCGCTGCCCACAGACCCCAGCCGAAGCCCGGCCCCGAGGGCCCCCCGCGCTCGCCCTCCGGCGGCGCGGGGCAGTTCCCCGCCGGCGGCCACGCTGGCGAGGGCGGGTTGGCGACGCCCCCTGGGCAGCCCGGGCACGCCGGGCGCGGCGCGCAGGCCGCCGGCGGAAAGCGCGGCGGGCAGGCCGCGCACCGGCAGTCAGGCGCGGGGGGGCACGCCGGGCACCGCGCCAGGTACGCCCCAGCGATCCCCCCGCCCACTCCAAGACTCGCACGGCGACGTGCCCAGCCATCTGGCCGAGGCGCCGCCGCCCAATTTTGCTCTGAGCCACCACGGCTGCGGATAATGACCTGGATGACAGTGAATCCGCCTGGGCACTGTAGCACGGAACGGCCTCGCCCGAAACGCACCAAGGATTCCCGTGCAAGTTCAACGCATATATATATATATATATATATATATGTTTGTATGTGTATAGATACATACATACATACATACATACATACATACATACATACATACATACATACAGGAACCTGGCCCGGGGGGGGCCCTTTGGAGCCGGCGCCAAAGACGCCATGTGAAGACGCTACTCCCCCAAAAAAACTTCGGTGACGCTTCTATTCCGCTGACGCCTGGTGAAGCTCGTGACGCCTCTATTCAGCCTGAAGCCTCTATTCTCCCGACACCCATTGAAACTCGCGAAGCCTCTATTCGGCCTGAAGCCTCTATTTCCCTGACGCTTGCAATCGGAACGTGACACCTCTATTCGGCCTACGAACTGCGACGCACTGGTGGGGTGGCGACCCTAGACGCGCCCATTCGGCCTGAAGCCTCTATTCCCCTGACGCCCATTGAAGCCCTCTATTCGGCCTGAAGCCTATTCCCCTGACGCCCATTGAAGCTCGTGAAGCCTCTATTCGGCCTGAAGCCTCTATTCCCCTGACGCCCATTGAAGCTCGTGAAGCCTCTATTCGGCCTGAAGCCTCTCTTCCCCTGACGCGCATTGAAGCTCGTGAAGCTTGTATTCGGCCTGAAGCCTCTATTTCCCTGACGCCCATAAAAGCTCGTGAAGCCTCTATTCGGCCTGGAGCCTCTATTCCCCTGACGCCCGCTGAAGCTCGTGAAGCCTCTATTCGGCCTGAAGCCTCTATTCCCCTGGCGCATGGTGAGGCTCCATTCGGCCTGAAACATCTACTTCCCTGACGCCCACTGAAGCTCGTGACGCCTCTATTCGGCCTGAAGCCTCTAATCCCCTGACGCCCATTGAAGTCTCTATTCGGCCTGAAGCCTCTATTCCCCTGACGCCCACTGGAGCTCGTGAAGCCTTTATTCGGCCTGAAGCCCCCCTTCCCCTGACGCCCACTGAAGCTCGTGA